CCCTCTGTAGCCTGGTCGCGTGGTACTTACCGTGGGTACAAATCAGTTGATGTGTCCACAGTAGATCGCATCATTTAGGGTAGATCGCGCGTCGAAATGATTGCACCATGTCGATCCACGGCGATGATTACGTAATCTTCAAAGATGATGACGTAATCACTGACGTGTCGTCGTCAACCACAAGTCTCAGAGCTGGATCGGGTCACTTCCCATCAATCAACCCCTTGTTCGCAGAAGCCAACTGTCACTTCACCACAATCGTCCCCTGAGTGAGAGTCCACAGGACCAACTGTCGGCCTTCACTCACCGATCTCCGCCTCACGTATCACTGCGCCTTCGCTCACCTTTATGCCCGTCTTCGGTGTCCGTGCAGTCACGTCGTTGTGTCTTCCGATACGTCTGCTTACATGCGTCATTGGTCCCTTCTTCTTCGCCAACTCTCTCCTCTGCAGACAGCAACGCTTTCGTCGACCTCACGTCCTCGCCCTGCTCTCCTCTACGCTCTGCCACGCGTGGCGGCCCACCCGTCATGTCGACTGTTGAGCTGGCTGACCATTCGCTGGACCTTGCCTGCGTGCGGGCCTCGCTGAGTGCGCTGCAGCAGTCTATTGACCAGGTCGAGGCATTGCGCGAGCTTCGCTCGGATCATGAGAATCTGTGCCACGAGTTTTTGGCTACACGACGTCGCGCGGAGGATCTGGATCGTCAGCTCGCCTACGCGGCCAATGTTGCGTCGTCGTACGTGCTCTTTTGTCAGCACAAGTACGATGTGGTTCGCCACAAGCTGAAATCTACTCAGACGGAGCTCGCCGAGTGTATGACTGCGTTGCTGGAGCGTCTCGACAACTCCTGTGAGCTCGAAGCTTGCCGCCTTCGGTATCGTGATTTGAAGCTCCGCTACAACGAAGCAGTGTCAGAGTTCCAAGATCGGATCTCCACCTTGGAGGCACAGCTGGTTGCAGCCTCTTCCTTTGGTGTGATCGTGCTGCCTGATACTGCTCGCCGCATTGCGGACCTGGAGTCCCAGCACGCGCTGTCTCAGTCTGACTTACAGGTCGCGCGCGATCTCTAGTCTTCTCTAGCTTCGGAGCTTCGAGAATCAGCTACGTCTCATAAGGCCGCTCAAGCGGAAATAGTTCGTCTCGAGGCCGCGATCGAGCACAAGACTCGTCGCCTGAGGGTTGCCGACACCACGATCGACACACACTCCACCGAGCTCAATCGCTTGCAGGATCGGGTATCGACATTGGGTCGGGATCTCCAGAAAGCTTCACAGCGTGCCCAAGCAGCGATCTCTCAGCGCGATCAAGCCAGGGCAGAGCGTGTCGCTACTCGTGCGTACTATCTGTATACCTCTGTCGGCGTCGTACTAATTCGTATCTTGTGTCACAGAGGATCGTGTCTCAGCGGCTCGAGAAACTATCGCCCGGCTGGAAAGACGGATTAATCAAGTCGAGAAGTCTCAGAAGTCGCGTCAGGATCTCGAGCCCGTGCTCGCCACGCTTCGGCAGAAGAGACAGTCTGGTGGTCCAAAGAGATAAATTGCTTGGCCAGCTTGGCGAGCGTTTCATGGAGGTCACAGATCTACGGGCCGAACCGGACCAGGCGCAGGAGAGATTGTCCAGCATTGCGTCCCTTCTCCCTTCCGTGCCGAGCCACAAGCGCGCACGCTCTGAGTCGGAGTCTCCAGCCCAGTCTGGCCGGGTCTCCAAAGCCGCCCGATCGACCTCAGGTCTTTTCCAGGGTAGCGCCTTGAGTCAAGATCCTGAGTCCAAATCTCCGATCTAAGTACTGTCTGCTGTGGCTGCCGACCAGAAGTCTGAGGGACCGGCATCATGTCCTCCGTTCGCGGGCCCTCCTGATCATCTTCCTCGATCTACTCGATCGACCGCCAAGGGTGGCAGTGGGGGCGCTTCATCTTCACCTGTAACTTCCGATGCGGGCGCGCATTCCGACGGTGGCGAAGGCTGTTCCGGCGTCTCCGGTTCTACTCGCGTATTCGACTCGGATGCAGCGGGAAGCGCTCCGGAGTTGAATCGCGCTAAGGACCAGTTGGGGATGCTACTCGGCCCTCTATCGGATGCTGAGCTGGCAAACCTACCACCTACCACGGCTCCCCGATCGGAGTAAATTCCTAGTTACCGTGACCGTCGCAGCTTCCGCCGTCATTATATCGTCTCCTGGTCTGGACAGGATATTCGTCAGACCAGCATCGAGGAAACGGACGCGGATCTGTTGTTTCACCACTAGACCAAAGTCGATGGAATGACTAATCCCCCTCCGCGACCCCGTACATCAGCCTGGAGAATGGCGAGACGATTTGGTGAACGAGAGCAACGTGCGCGATTTTCTCGAGTCTGCTTCGTGGGAGATCCTTGCCGCCCCGATGGACCCTCTCACATTCAAAGCTCGGGGTTGGTTCTGGCACATGATGCGACTTTATGCTTCTTACGAGGATGAGCATCTTCGGGCTTATTTGGACTCCACCCACGTCTTTTCGGTGAGCATTACCAAGCGTCGCGCCAATCGGTACTTGGGTGCGTTTTACACTAATCGCAGGCAGCGTCGATCAAGCGCCGATGCCCGGTGGAAATCGTTCCTTCAGCAGGTGCTGATCGGCTTGCTCCAGGGTTACTGCGACCTCGACTTGTTGCTGGATCCCTTCTTAGGTGCTTGGTACCCTGGAATCGAATGCGGAGCCGATCCCGCGGACCTACTGAAGGCGTTGGCTGATACGGATGCGGCCGATCGCTGGCACAACCACTTTTGCGACGTGCCAGAGGACCATCCAGCGCTTGTCTGGCAAGTTCGTGTCCTTCTCTTCCTGGTAGCGCCCTGCCGTTATGTGTTGGCTAGCAACTTGTAGGTTTTAGCATTCGTCAAGAAGGTCCGATCCAACGATGCGTATTTTCTTCCCTTCTTCCAGAATTTTGAGGGTGTGTTGCCTAGATTTTCCGGCCTATCCAGGCCAACGGCACTTCATATGCACCACCTCCTCCTTGAAATCTGCAGACTTCCTGCACATCCTTCTTCCTCTCACTTCTCCATGATGGCCAACCCACCGCAGATGTTCCACCACTCACTCCTCATGCGACTGCATCGCCTCAAATCGGTTGCGATCTGTCCGTCCCCGGTCAAAGTCACTCAGCAACGCTCCACAGTTGAGACCAGTTTCATCGAACCATGACGGCTCGGCGTAGCTCTTCCAGAAGACCAGGTATTCGCGTCGTGTACGGCCGTATCGAGTCTTCTTGCTCGAACGCCCATCTACAATCCGTTCCACCTCGTACTCGTCCTCTTCAAGCTCGCGTTCCCA